ATCTTTTTGTATCACTTAAATCTCCTTGAAAATGCATCTATGACATACTTCCTTTGCGCAATGACGAACCGTCGTTCCCTCAGGGCGAAGCGCCCTTTTTTGAAAAAGTTTAGGGCGGGGCAAAGGGAGGAGCGAAACACCAAACTCCAAGTGTCTTCCCCTGGTTGAAAGTTTAAAAGAAAAGGAATCCAACCCAAAACGCTAACAAGTTTCTGTTCACAGAAAACACTAACCGCTGTCTGATTAGCCGTGAGGATGAAGTCGCCCACTTTCAGTTGATCCATCCGTTTCTTACCATCAGGCGTTGTCACCCACGTATCCGTTGAGAAACAACCTGGTAACACAGGGATCGATCAGAAAAAGAAACAATATTCCTCGCACTCAAACGAACCTCCTCCTCCTCCTCCTCCTCCCCCTCCGAACCCTCCTCCTCCGAATCCTCCATCAAATCCACCTGGGAAAAAACCTGGTTCAACTGGTGCTGGTGGTGGGGCAACGGCTGCCGGTGGGGCAACGGCTGCTGGTGGCGCAACACCAAAAACACCTGGGGAAGCCAACGGAGCCGGTGGAGCAACAAAGGGGCCGTTTGGAGAAGCTACAGGAGCTTGCGGAGGGCCGAATGGACCCTGTGGAGGCCCTAATGGAGCTTGTGGAGGACCAAAAGGAGCCTGTGGAGGGCCAAATGGAGCTTGTGGAGGACCGAACGGAACCTGTGGAGGGCCCAATGGAGCTTGCGGAGGACCAAGCGGCGGAGGTGCTGCAGGAACGGCTGGAGGCTAAAAGATTCAAATTAGTCAAGGCAAACAAGGAAAACAGGCCATTCAGTCTTGAAAGCGGAAAGTACAATAATTTGGATGTACATATATGGATTACGTATAAGTGGGAAGGGTTTAATGCTCGAATCCCCTAAAGCAAGCTGAATGCTAACGGTGAACGCCATCCAGCCTTCCCAGAAGGCGTATTCACGATAAGTCTGAGGTATCCATTTTGAGTGGAATAATGGAAGCCGTTATGCCTAATAGTGCAAGGATGACGAAGGGAGCGCGAAAATTGGCGGCCATTCAGTCTTGAAAGCGGAAAGTACAATAATTTGGATGTACATATATGGATTACGTATAAGTGGGAAGGGTTTAATGCTCGAATCCCCTAAAGCAAGCTGAATGCTAACGGTGAACGCCATCCAGCCTTCCCAGAAGGCGTATTCACGATAAATCTGAGGTATCCATTTTGAGTGGAATAATGGAAGCCGTTATGCCTAATAGTGCAAGGATGACGAAGGGAGCGCGAAAATTGGCGGTTTTGAAACCATAAGGCTTTGAAAAGCAGCAAAAAAGGGGTTGCGCGAGATTACCGCCCTTTTTCGTCTGGGTGTCTCTCACATGAGCGTACTATTCGTTTCGTTTTGTGAATAGTGCAGTCATAACAAAGCCGGCCAAAACACGGCCACTTACAGGGTGAGCGTCAAACCGTTTTCGGGAACCTTATGACGCCCTGTCTGGACCGTTTTTGGATCCCACAACCTAACCTTTGGCCCCAGATGCAGTCTAAATCTTAGTCGAGACAGCCTTTTCAAAGTTGGCGAAATGGTAAACAAGCTCGACCAACTGCTCTATCTGTACGCATCATGGGACCAGAAGAAATCTATAGAAAGTAATACTTATATAGAGCCTTTCAAACTGCTTGTGGAATTCTGCATAGGGACTTACATCTTGATTTCCAAATAACTTTTCAAAGTGTGCACTTCCTCTTCTCGAACCCATTTTCAAAATGTCCACTTAATCCAAAATAGAAGAGTTTTCTCATACAAATCCCTTGTAATTCTCATCAGGGCTTTTGGGATGCACGGAACATGGAAAACTATTTTTAGATAGAAACATTCGAGTAGAAAAAATGAAATACATCTTCACTCCTAAGTGCCTTCACGAAGCGAGCTTTATTACGTGGTTCCCTTTGCCTTTGCAATTCCCAGTATTCGTATACATAATCCCAATATGCACCCATAGCTTTTCCTATCCACCGCTTCCAAAAACTGAAAAAACACGAAAAAAAGCCAAGCATAGCTGCTTACCGCCACCTCAGATAGTAGTTCGGGTGGAAACGCCTGAAACGAAGCTATTTGAAAAAAAAAA